ATTTAATCTGATAAGGATATTACTTGTTTTGAGCCGATAGGTCTAGTGCTATATAGGCGCCTATTTCGTCCTATTGGGACTCATCAGTAGCACCCTCCCTCGGTTCCGTCGATCCCTTGAGGTGAAAAATCCTCTAAAGGAATCGGCGCCGAGTAAGTATTAAGCACCCAAAGTAGGATGATGGTATTACCTGACTTTGTAGTGACCGGCAGTCTATATAGCACTAGACCTATCGGCTCAAAACAAGTAATAGCCTTATCAGGTTAAATCATTTTGAGCGGGTCTGTGAAAAAAGCGGTCGATAGCAGAGGTATGGTTCATTTTAAAAGCCGCAAGCTCGAATGCCGGTCACCACAAAGTCAGGTAATACCATCATCCTACTTTGGGTGCTTAATTTTTACTCGGCGCCGATTCCTTTAGAGGATTTTTCACTTCAAGGGATCGACGGAATCGAGGGAGGGTGCTACTGATGAGTCCCAATAGGACGAAATAGGCGCCTATATAGCACTTGACCTATGGCTCAAAACAAGTAATATCCGTAACACTTATTTACATTCGAATGTGGGGCTGGCAAAAACTTTTCGTGGATATCGGCATACCTTCTGGCATGTCTTCGCATTATGTTGAGACATTTCAACAGAACAAATCACTTTTGTTCTTGCTATTCCAATTTCAAACTTTTAATATTGATCTGGCTTAGAAACTCTTAAAAGGCATATTTCCTGAAGTGATTAATCTACACTGACTGATCGAGGAGTAGCTGAAGCACATGATCGTGACTATTTACTCATTCCAGACTGTTCCTAATCTTGCACAGAGGTGTGCCATGTGTTGAATCACCAGTGATTTCAGAAATGTAGTGCTATAAATGGCCATTTTCCGAAGAGCAGACAATGTGTCGTTTGGCCTTAAGGCAGCAGACCCGGCTGCAGAACTTCGTGCACGCTCAAGTAAGCGTGCAACAAAGCCGATTTTGTATAAAAGCGCACTCATTTAGTATCATATTTGCAATGTGTTTTATGCTTAGAGTTTTTTGAATAATTATGGCTATCTGCCTTAAGATTCACACTTTGTTGAAGACTCTTTGGATAAACCGAATACTTCAGAAGGGGGCACAGTTGAGAGCGCCGAGGCCGAGTGGCTATAATGTTGGTAATGTTGGTCACGGCGCGCGTGAAACCATGCTCCACCTCCACCCACCCCCACCCCCCCCCCCCCCTTCACCCCTTCTATCCGGTAGTCAACAACAACGTCCTATAGAACGCCACAGCAAAGCTATCCTCGAGATTGAAAGGAGATTCGCTCAACCAATATTCTATGCCGATCAAGAAGAAGACGAAAAACAAGCTGAGGCTAAAAGTACTGGGATCCGCACAATGAAAAAAGAACACTGTGAGACGGATCAAACCAAGTATTAAAGAGAGTACAGTTGCGTTATGTGTTTTAAGTAATACAACATCAGAGAATGGCTCCACAAAAGTGGGTGAAATACGCGAAGGCAAGCCTCCTCCGGATTGCCATAAGATATTATATATCATGCCAAATGTTTGAAGGTGATATTGTTCGCCGAAACAACTCATGCAAAACTCTAGTGTGATGTGAAAGCATGGATTGTTGCATATGGCTCTGACCTTGCTTTTGGATGTTCAGAGTCTCAATCCACTGCATAATCCACAATATTATTATCTAGTTTGTAGTGATCTGGTCTGATATTGACTATCTTGATGCATTTGTAGACGACACTCATGTATGTGTAGTTATGACGAGATTTGTGCAAAAGACATGTGGCTACTGACTCACATTGTTTCTTGTTTACATCTCATGACAGCTTGAACTGATTTATGTGAACAGCTAGAGCAATTATGTGAACGTAATAGTCTTCAAAGCATTACCGCATATAGTCGGGTTGATCAATGTTCATCAAGAGTAACCTCCACAAGTATGATACTATAAGCCAGACTGAAACTGTAGCTTTGCATTTTAATGGGGCATTTGTGAAGTGAAAGATATTATGAGGTGATGGAAAGTAGTCGATTTTGTGATGACCAACAGCGAATTAATGAGTTGCGGCGGGTGATCAACTCAAATCAGGTCGACCCGAAAGATGATCAGCACCTGAAAGCATCAGCCAAGTAAAACTTTATGCTCTTTCGTTTTATGTTTATTTTAGCTCGATAAATAAGTTCGGATGCTGGCCAATGCGTGAATCGTCATTACAGTCCGCTTGGACGCCGTTTAGCACGTCGATGATGTGACTGGACACACACTGTGCTCAGGCAAAACGAGGAATTACTATGGAGGGTCTTTAGAATCTTGTTGAGCACTAAATTTCATTTGCAATTTTTCGGCTTTCCGAGTTCCAAAGAAATTGTCTCTTGCACAACTGTTGGAAACTGTCACAATTAATTATTGATTTTAATATGATGTTGTAACTTAATAGATGATAAAGGATAAAGTTCTCGACGTTGAACAACCCTGAGGGATCTGTCATGCATTCGTCTCAAAATTTTATCTTAGCTTGAGGTGATTGAACAAATATCCGGCCTTTACAGGGACTTGTGGTGGTCTAGCAATGTATCAAGTAACTGCTTCTTATACTCCAGACAGGTCTGATACCAATTTTCGACCCCGGAAAGATGGAAAACTTAGTAAGCCATGAGTCGCGCTATCGAAGTACGTTCCTTGTGTCGCGACGCAGAGCATCTCTAACCACTGCGCCACATGCGCTTTCCATAGCTTAGTAGTGTGTTCAAAAGTGATAACACAGTGATGGCCGTAACCGGCCGATTTCTTACAAAAAAAGCATAAGGATCTCCGGAAGAGAGCGCTCTGCTGTAAGATTTATTCACGAATCTAAATAGATGAAAATAGTGGCGAAATAAAAGGAAGATTCGTATAACATCATCTTTACTGACTTGATGATGTGATGCTTTTCTGCGGATGTCGGAAGTAGTCATTTCCACATCGGCGATGCCCTATATCTTTCTCCTCCATCACCAACTTTATGCAGGATTCTGAAAGAACTCTCATATAACTTCGTTCTTGTTGTCATGGATCGCAGATATGCAAGTGTACTCAACTTATTACGAGCAGCACTAGTAACATTAGACTATTCGTACAAGGTCCTTTACCTAGCCAAATTTGCAGTAAGCTTCGGAACGAAAACATGCTAGTTTACATTCGTTCACTGTAGAAATAAATAAGCAAAATTCAAATATTTTCTTCAAATAGAAAATTAAGACCTTTTTTGTTCAACATGTGAAATTACAACAAGCCGCTTAGGTGTAGAAATTCGACAGCTATTTTGCGAAAATTTGAATCTGGGAGAAAAATCAAGCGTACTTGGTCTTTCACAAGGCTTTCTCTTTACGTTATAGCAGAAAAATAAGTTTCATATTACATGAATATTCTCATGCGCGTATATTCATTATTTATCAAAGATTTTTCCCCGTTTCGTGACGAATTCTAAGCTTCTGTGTCGAAATCGTGGAAGAGATTTAGCTCCATCGTTCTGTGTGCTTGGGCTTTTCATTTCGTTGTGTATTGTAAGACCTGCAGAGGAAATTTCGTAGTACCAAAATTATAAGTTTTCGCCAGACTTTTTATTCAAAAAGCCAAAAAAACCCAACTGAAGTAATAAAAATTGCGCCACACGTGAATTACACTATGCGATCGATCAAGTCATTTAAAAAGCGATGCCATCGAGTGTGAAAAGTGGTCTTTTTCAAAGTTACAGCTCTCTTGAAAAGACTTTCAAGAAAATGAAATATTGATACCATCAAGATTTAAGCTAAGGTGACTACAAAATTTCCAAGAGAAAAAGCCACGCCTAGTGAAAAATGCGCCAAAACGCGTTGCGAGTAAAGCTTATTCAGTTTTGCCTGCTACAGCGCACTAAAAAGCTATTTCAAACTGAATTACAACTTCAAAATTGACGAGCTCAATGCTATCGAAAAAAGGTAAAACTCTTGATTTGTCAATATGTCGATCAAAAAATTTGTCCCTTCCAAAGTGTCTTTCTATAATTCAAAAGTATTTGTTATTATTGGCGTCTTTACCTGCTCATAGCTCAAATTGAGCTATTTCCACTAAGAAATCATTGTTTACGCAAATGTTATTAAAAGGTGGTGAAATAAAAATGAATGCTCTGATAAGGAAAAAACTTGTTTGCACAAATGATAACCCTTTTGCAGTTAGCAGAATAAATTTTGAGAAGGTACAATCTCATTATCAATTTGGAGAAACTTCAAACTGAGGAAACGTTATAATCCTGAAGTGATTACAGTATAATTCACAATGTACTTAGTGACCAACATTCGTAATCGACGGTTCTCTAACGAGTTTCACCACATAGAGTTTACGAAATGTTCATTATGTAATTGCACACTAAAAACCAGTTGTCGTAATGGCTAGGAGTTGAAACCAACCAGACTTGTTTGGAGGATGAGAACTACTAAATCGATGCATTGGTAGGCCACACAAGTCGTTATAAAAGCCAAATAAGCATTCAATGACCTCAGAAGAAGTTGAAAAGTGAAGACGAAAGCATGGCACATCTCTTAGTGATCGTTTAACGACTAGAGCCCTAACCTTTACTCCTTTTGACTATGCTTTGTGGAGGTCAGCATCCACAGAAAGTCCTTTAGGGACTGATATTCATGAAATCAACTGTTCAATATATACCTAGAGACTTGAGTAGCGAACAAAGATACGAAGATCAGACGGGAGCCAAACCTGCGTTTCATCCTATTCGGGGACGCGTGCTACCACTACACGACCGAGATACACGCGCCATCACTCATTCTTCAACATCTCTATGTTAGCTGTCACCGCCAACCTTCAGCAGGTTTGGTCAGGTATGGGATTTCGCTCTATGACCCAGTTGAGCTGGCAGTCAGTGTGATAGGTAATACTCGAAATTTCTACTGCTTTTACTGCATTTTTCGCCGGTTATGATGTTTCATACATATATAAGAAAACTGAGTGATGAGCAAAAATACGACCTCAGACGGGAATCGAACCCGCGTTTTATCCATACCACAGACGCATGCAACCATTACGCCACCGAGATAGAACGAGGGTTCAACTCCCGTCTGAGGTCATATTTTTGCTACCACTTAATTCTCTCAGGTATGTTTAAAACATTATAACACTGCGGATACAGTACAAACACCAGAAATTTTTATTCTTACCATTACAAGTACAAAAAAACAGAGTCATATTTGTGCACCTAATATCAGATCAGTCAGCTCTTACACTCACAAGCACCTCTCTTATAATACTCGCTGGCGGAACAGAGGTTGCAATTGAGGTCTTTGTTCCATCTAAAACCATTTCCTGATGTATTTGACCACTCTTGCTAAAACACTTAATTTCGAAATCTAGCGTTTTTACTGCATTTTGCGCAGTGTTACGATGTTTCACACATACCTGAGAGAAATCTCATGATAGTAAAATTCAAAAAATAAGCAAGTCTTTTGTATTCTGAAGTGCATTGAAAACGGTTTTTGTAGGACTTTGAAGATAAAGGCTTTTGTACTCGTGAAACGCAATTTGTGGGAATTTGCTCTGCAGATAAATCAACCGAAATTGGCTGAAACTGCTTGCTTTTGGCATCGTTTAAATGTTCAGTTCCTTGAGAACATTTAGTTATATAGCCTATAACTGCTTTAGAATGGAGCTGTCTCGGGAACGAATTCGCTGCTATTCATGCACGAATGGTGCGTAGGGAAAGACCGGCTATTGGAACGCGCACAAGATTAATGGAGCTTGAGGCATCTCCATCTTGAAGCAAGTACAGGCAAGTTGTATTTCAAAATGTCCACAAAAAATTCGCAATTAAACGATATTGAGGTCATGCAGTTTCATTGAAAAGTCATACTAAAGAACGAAAACGGCACGGACTTTTCAATTTTGCTGCATGATAACACTCGCCATCATGTTGTAAACGCCGATCGAAAACATAATAAAATAGTTGAGGTAGAGAAGTTTTAGGAGGCGCTACCTTACCCATCTTAATCTACTAGCATTGTCGTGTCAGATTATCACTTGAAACTACCAAAGTAGGTTACAATTGGCAAATTAATATTTGGGTACTAAAGTCGTTGTCTTCAAAGTTCTATAGGAAACCATGATATAAAGTATTTTTATATAAATACATAGCTTTATATTCGACTGTTTCCTGAGAGCTCGTCAGAACAAATAAGCTGGAATTTACTTTGAGCCTTTCATTAGTCTTTTATCGGCACTTATACATTTCAGATTATATTGTTTTCAGCAAGGTCTCAGAAAACAGTCGAATTCAGAGGTATTATAAAAATGCCTACCTTGAGCAATCGACTGTTAATCACCACAACGTTCAATGATCTAGTCACCGAACATGTAGCGATATATCATTCTGCAGTGAAATTTTCATTCAACACACGCGGAGAGTAACATGTTCGCCGTTCATTCCTTTGTTCTCTCCCATGAAAGGGGATTGGCTGAGATGAAAGGCACCGTGCAATTGACGAGGCTTTAATGCGCAACACGTGTCTTGCACTGTATAAGTGCCGATAAAACACCTTATGAACGGCTCAAAAATACATTGACAGGCTATAAAAAATGTAAATAAATATCGTCTTCAGCCCAATTTTCAACAGAGAAAATTTGCATCTCTTTATTTTACTATTATTACAGCAAAAAAAACGGCAGGAGTCATAATATAGTATGAAACAATAGCAAAATAAATCGATCAAGGGATAATGTGTGCCTAATGTGTGGAATGTATATCGAAACCATAAAATGAATGCGAAATAGATTCTGAAAGATGAGGCTAAAGAAACTATAAATCATAAGATTCCGTTACGTCTCCTATCTATGGTGGACTTAAACAAATTGTGGATGAATTGTTGTTTCAGAACGACGAATGATGACGACCGTTTGAAGTTCGGATAACAGAAAGAGCACTCTAAACCAGGAGCGTAACCGACATGTTATAGAGCGGATAGCTGATCCAGTTCTTCGTGTCTTTAGTGGTTCAATGCTGTTCTCATGATATCGTTGACTGGTCGACGGTCAGCAATAGTCATCGCGTTGATGCTATTCACATTTGCGGTATGTTCTATCTTTGTTGTCACTTTCTCCGAATCGTTTGCAATAACCGTCTATGATACGTTTCTCTAGATAATTCCAACTTTCACAGTCTCATTGAAGTTTCAACCGATTTTTATTGAGTTCTAATTCTTTTCTATCGTACTGGCTGGTCAGAATGTGAAAACATCAAGTAACAATATAAGGTGCTTGGTGGTGTTTATCAATTCATGACCGAGAGGTCGTGCATTTGACTCCATCTGTTGCATCATGGAAGTGATTAAATTCATCTCCGACCTTTTAAAAGTTTTGAAGTATTCTGTTAACTATAATTTTTTCGATTTATCTGCTCCCTAGCAGCGCGATGATGTTGAAATAATCATCTGAGAAGACTGAGTGATACGCAAAAACTTGACGTAAGGCTAGTTGAACCGGTGCTTCACCCTTACCAGGAGCGCGTGCTACCACTACACCGCCAAGGCCACCGCATGGCGGCTACTCCTTTTTCATCATGAACTATCAAAGCTGTCAGCAATCAACCCTTAGCTGGGTTGGTCTGGTACATTTCGGCATTGAGAAACGTTGAACTGACAGCTTTTTCTATATGGATGACCTATATTTCTTTGATTTGAACGTTTTTCACTGTGGTATGATGTTGAAATATTCATCTAAACAGATTGAATGGTATGTAGAAATGTGACTTCAGGCGAGAGTTCAACCCACGTTTCACCCTTACGTAAATGCTTACCGTTTCACCCATTTCCCCTACAGAAAAGCTGTCAAATCAACCAGGTTCAATACCGAAATATGCCTACCAGGCCAAAGCTTGGTTGCTGACAGCTTCGATAAATCATACTGGAAGAAAGAGAGGTCTTCAAGTATCACGCGCCTCCAAGAAGGGTAAAACGTGAACTCAACCCCGCCTGATGTCAAATTTTTGTATACTACTTAATCTTTTTGACTAATACCTTGATAATTATAAACGCCTAATTTTCTCCTCCTCAAGAAGTCTTATTAAATTTTTGATCCCAGGGTGATGGGAGGCTTGGTGGTCTATCACGCAAGATCGACAGCCACCTTGTGTATTGCAGGGCATTAAAACAGTTTCGTTACACACGTCTCACTAGCAACATTTATTCAATTATCCCAAATTGCCAAGTTGGTCTTCACATTTGCTGTGCTTTTGTAAGATCTTTCGTTTGATTGATTTCTTTGCACTCACCATCGACTGGAAGGTTTTTCAATTTTCTGCGCAAAGATTGCTTGAGGATTTTTCTTCGTAAAGAATGTCGTCGCATGCTGATCGAGCCAATTTTCCTTGACAATCGGGACAGCCGTTTGAAGCGTTCCTACGTGTACTGCAAAGAGAGAAGCTTATTGTAAACAAGTCTGGCACCAATTATCCGACCACAGAAGGGTAAGAAGCTTAGTGGCCTGGTCCGAGGTCGAGCCAGCATCATTCTCGTGAGCCGCTACATCACTGCTATTGCACTCGCTTACTCTTTCCCCCTTGATTGGGTAGTATTGTTATTATCTATTAACATGGCCAATCATCATACTTACTGTGCGGATCTCATCGCTTATTATGTTCGATCCATTTTCTAGCAATCATCGTCGCAATGTTTTGTAAACATTCCACGTCTTTCGTCTCCTGCTTTGAATTTTCGTCTCCTTTGTGAAAATGACAGAATGCTTGTCTAGTCGATTCTCACTATAATCTTAGACATAGCTAAGTTAAAGCGCTCGTGCGTTAATTACAAGAACTTGGAAAGTGGGTCAAATAAGCAGCGCTCCACTAATCTCTCCCCTTTTTTGATAATGTGGGATACTGAATTTGATTAAAGATTAACCTTGAAGTACTTGGATATTTCTTTGGAATTTTAGTGGTGATGATCTCAAAGGTTTTCCATAGATGGATATTTTATGACCGGGTTCACAAGATTCGACTGTTTCAGTTTGGTATGATTTTCCTATTTCTTTCTTATACTTACAAATAAATATAACAGGCATAAGCCAAGGACTGCTAATCAAAAGTAACGTTTCTAAGTCGGTCATCGCTGAGTTTTTCGTCCATTCTAGAACTGTGGAACACACGTACCATCTCTCACTGAAATCGCTCAGATCAATGATCCAGTGTTGAGAGAAGTGTTTGCCTCGTCAGGTGTTCAAAATATAAAATCTCGACCAGATTTCGATGATCATCCTCAAACTGCCACCAAGAACACTTGTGCTCCGACCTCAGCAAAGGATGGTATATTACGGTAAGTCGTCTGTAAAGGAACTTATCACGTAAAAGACGAAGAGCACTGATTTTATTGCACCAGCGCCAGAAAGTACGAGTGAGAAAGTCTGTATGAGGTAGAAATACCATGCCGCCGAAGGTTAGAATAGACTAAGGAAAAGTGCTCCTCTATATGCGAATCAGTGGGTTTTTGTTATTTTAACTATTCGACTTTTAACTACATCAGATGTTTAAAGAAGGTGACGAGTGATTAGCGATGCAAACCAGAAGAAAACTGTGTTGTTCCAATCTCCTTCTCCGAAATTTTCTACAGTAAATTACAGTAAAATGAAGATATGGTTATTCAGTAGTAATAATTTTCTTCAAACGACTATATATCACGGACCGGTCAAAATATTCATAAATAGCCTTTGAGAATGTTTGTAGCCTTCTTTTTCGATATTTGTTACGTTACATTTCGTTTGAGACTACATATTGGCATACGTGGGTTTCCGGCGGTTTCGCCATCATCCAAACCTTTTCTCACACAATCGCCAATTACCCTAGAGGTAGAGCGACGAAGACGGCTGAAAATTTTCTCAAATACTATATATGAATGCTTTTATAGTGCTTTTCAAGAAAATATCGAAGGTGTTATTCTGTTCACACCATTCGCAAGATGTCGACTGCAAGAAAACTGGCCAGTGATAGTCTCATTTGACTACAGTCTATCATTCTTCGGCGCTCATTTCCTGTGATAGAGGGTGAGTGGCCGAGGA